AAAAAAAAAAAAAAAAAAAAAAAAAAAAAAAAAAAAAAAAAAAAAAAATTAAAAAAAAAAAAAAAAAAAAAAAAAAATTTTTACCAATTTAATTCCACGAATGCTTGAAGCATATTCATCTCTTCATGAAGTTGTCCCGGTATTAGGACCAGCCAAGGAAATTTCTTTTTGAGCTTGGTCGCATGATGGTAAGGAATGCCATCACAAACTACAGCTACCTATTTATGAATTCCAGATTTAATGCCTGATATTTTTTCTATGTAGGAAAGAACTTTTTCTATATTCGTGATGGAATTAGGATTAATATTCAATAGGTCAGGAATATAAATTTTAGGAACGTTAACTCTTGGATCACTAACTGGTTTGGTGAAGCTGATTTTTGGAGCATTCGTAATATTTGGTTCGTCGCTAATACTATATGGTTTAAAAATAAGTGGGTGGGTTAATTGATTAGTTATATTATCTTCAATTACTTTTTCTTTTTGCATTTCGGTTAATGTTGGCAGTCGTGCCCAGCATTTTGGACATTTTCTTCTTCAATTTTCTATATTTTGTTGATTGTATGAAGGACATATTTTCATATTTGTAATGTTAGTTCCTATAGATGTAATAAAAGAATTGATAGGATTAGTAAAAGATAATTTTTCTTCAGATAATAAATTAAAGATACTAGTAAAATAATCATATAATTCTATATCAATAGCTTCTTGCATTTGAAGGTTAATATCTAAAAGTTCTTCATATTGCAAGCTATCAAGAGAACTATAAACCCAAGGGGAATCGGTGTGTTGAATTTTGTTTAATAGCACCATGTTAAAACTAACAAAGCTAGTAACAATGTGGTAAATTACTTTATTGAACCCCTGATCAAGATAATTTTTTTGACCTCTTTGCTCATTATCAAATGCCAAAAATAAAAAACCTTTAGGCAAAGGTTCTTTATACTTAGACAATTCTTCTGACCACTTTTGAAATCAATATTCACTTCCCGAATTCATGATATGACTGTCAATATTAATAATCATTCTTGATCTTGCGATTGAATATTTAATAGCTGATAGTGCAAGTTGAACTTCTGAAATATATTTTCCATGGCGTGCTCCATAGATCAAATCAACTGCAATAGCAGTTTTAAATAGCTTTTTTTGGCTTAAAGTATTAGCATTCTGAGTATTCTGAACTAGGGTCTCTATAAACTTAACAACAACTTTATTATGCTTATTAAGCCATTCATGTGGACTATATAGCATAATAGCTTCGATAGAAAACCTAGTGCTATCATGAAATAATGCCTCCACATCATTGAACAACGATGAACATTCTGAAGGTTTAAGGATATAGGGCATAGATTTGAGAGTTGGGTTTAGTTATAGATGTTAAAAAATTAAAATTAGTAAATAGAATTAAAGCATATTAAAAGATATTTATACCAATTCTGCAGCATTAAAAAAAAAAAAAGGGAAGAAAACTTGTTAACTGACCTGCTTTTGCTATTTCAATAACTGCATTAACCACTTTTGTTGACTAGAAAACCTTGAGCTTCATTGCTCAATAAGTGCTTCGTTCTGCTTATGTTGTTCATCATATAAATCTTGAATTTCAGCCATATTATTATATGCACGTCGTAATTTATTTTTCAATTTCTCTATTTCATTCTATTGTTCATCTATATGTTGCCGCATTTGTTCTATTTCATTTTGTTGTTCATCTATATATTGCTGCATTAGCTCAACTTGTCCATCAAGTTCTGTTATTAATTGTGACTTCTGACAATTTTTTTGTTGAACTAATTCTAGAATTGTTGAATACTCCCAAGTTGATTCATCGAATCGGCAATATTGATTCTTGGATTATTCTCAACAGTATCAAAATTGGATGTTTGGCTTTCTTGAACAGAATCTACAAGATGCTCATAAAGTTGGTTATTTATAACGATTTGATTATAATAAATTAAACAAATTGAATGAGTATCAAGGCTAAGATTAGCAAGCTCAGAAAAATAATTATAATAAAGATTAATTCTCTTAGCTGCAAATAGACTGTTTGCAATTCGACATTTTCACCCACTGTTCTTGTTCCACTAAAAACCTGTATTGACTTGGTACTGGTTTTGCGACAAGTACTAAAACTCCTCTTGAATATAGAGGAACCCCCCTTTCTAACCAATCCATAACCACTGGCGATGGTCCTATCTTGTGTCGCCAATATTCCAAAACCTCTGTTAATTGCAACTTCTCTACTACTGGCACCTAGCTTTTGATTATCTTGTTTCTTACTACTATATCCTGAGTGCAGTCAATCTTTAGTTTTAGATTTAGAGAGGACTCTTGAACTAGTAGAGGGGCAGTTGGAGGCAATATGCTCCAAGCTCCCACAGTTGAAACAGGTAAGTGCTCCCTGATGATTTGTGGAGCCAAAACCAGATTTGCTTTGAAAGGAAGACTTCTTACTCCTTTTTCCATATCTCTTATTATGATCTTCTCTTTCTGAATCTGATGAGGAAGATGAATGTCTCCTTCTTTTATGTTGGTAATAGCATAATTTACCTCTCTAGTATTCACTATAAAAATAAGAGCTTGAAAAGGACTGACTAGCAAGAGGAATACGATCTTTATACTTCTTCATCATTTTATCATTACTACTGACAATTTGTAGTGCTGCACTCCAATCTTTATTATCAGCTAGTCTCAGAGTTACCGCATGAGTTTCAATTTCCTCCCTAATATTAACAAACTCCTTTCCAAAAGACCCTGGCAATACCTTAATAGCCTTGTCTAATCGTCTTCCTATTCTGGTCAGAAAATCATACTCGTGCTGATCACGTGCCTTTGACAACTTAACCTTGGGCCATGCCTCATCCAACAATTCACCTTCTTCTATCTTCTTATGCAATGCAGAAAAACTCTTATCCATCTTCTTCTCTATATTCCCTAGAGCTACTAGAAAAATATCCACTGGCACCAAATTAATTCTTTCTTTCCCTTAAAAATGTGATGCAAATTCTTCTCTAAGCCTTTTATCAGCTTCTTGTGACATGGAATCAATATCATTTCCATCCAAATCTATAAATGCATTTGCATCAAACCCCCTTCCATCACCTTTCTTGGCCTGATCACGTGGAATTCCATTATTATACTTTGGGTCCTTCCCAACTTGACTTGAAGAGACTTCTGGCAACTTTTCTTTCCTTTTCTTAAAATACCCATGAAGTCTTTCACCTAACTCCTCTTTATTTCCTTCGGAGGACAGGCTACAAGTTATACACAAATCTTTCAGTTCACTCAAGGTTAACTTGGTCCAACCAACACTTGGCATTGAGTGACTCATGAGTACAATAAACAAGAAAGAGTTACAACTATAGAATATAAAACTATTACTAAAGTTTATTACATTTTTAACTTTTTCTTTTTTTTTTTTTTTTTTTTTTTAAAAAATACAGGGCAAAAAAACAACAGTGGTCTGAACAGTTTTGCAATGAAAGAGCAGCCTTTTCTTCAAGGCAAGCGATAGTGAAAAGAAAGATACAAACTTCTAAACAGCCTAATTATTCTTAAATATCTTCTCACGAATACAGTCAGACGATTTGCCAAATAAGGAAATCACATTCTAGA